CCTACCTTACCCTGGCAACGTAATCCTCAGAATAAAGAGAGGAACATTGAATCTTTATCAAAAAAATTAGTAAGTATAAATAGTATTAACAATAATAGTAATAATAGTTTTATTAATAAATTTTACTTTATCTATAGACATCACCATCGCCATCATCATCATCTCCAACTACTCGAAAAAATTGAAAAAGAGTATGTTTAAGGAGTTGCTCTATATACTGTAAAAAGTTTAAACATAGTGTTGGGAATTTAATATTATTTTAAATTAATAAAATATTATATATGTATCGATATAGTGATACGTATTAATTCTAAATGAATACATAGTAATAAATATCAAAATTATTTCTTTATTTAATGATAAAACTATTATTAAATTTATTATTTATGTACAAACATAAGAAATAAGCGAATTTTTAATTAAAAATTATCAAATAATACTTGAATGCTATCGACTAAATCGTTAGATATTTGATTTTAAATTATCTATAAACTCATCTTGCATTAGCGAGTTAATATATTATTGTCTTTATATTAATAACCAATTATATGTATAATAAATAATTAATATTTTTTGTTATTAACTTAATAACTCATGGTCACAATGCTATCGAAACAAAAATATTATATAAAGTATTATTAATAATATCAGTGCTGTTATTACAAGTTATATACAATAAAAATTTATTCTCAGCTAGGATTTACAAAATCTAATCAAGGTTAATTATTGTTATCGTTATTACTGTACGTATAACCAAAATTCAGCAGATCGACCAAAAAATCCAGGTTAGAATTCATCGGAGCTAGTTGATATTAACAATAATGTTGGTCAATCATACAATAGCAAAATTATCATCTGGGTAGCTTTACTTAGTGAGTAGGCTATGTATTTATTAGCAAAATTTTTAGTGATTTTGGGCAATATTTCAGTAATAATATAGATCTTCCTAATAATATTTATTAATATTTAATAAAATATTATTCTATAGAGTATTGCTATTTCTATTCTCTATTTTTGCTAATACCACCTTTCAAAATAATAAAAATATTCTGGAAGAGATATTATTATTAAATAAATCTTTTTATTGGTATTGATTAAAGCTATTTATTAGGTCTTTTCAGTTCTAATGGTGATAAAATTATTAAAATAAGACCGATAGTTCTTTTTTAAAAATAATAAAGATTATAAAATTTAGATATAAATATTTTAAGAACAACCGGTTTGATCTTAATGATTTTATCACTATTAGAAACGGAAAGACTTAATAAACAACTTTAATTAATATCAACAAAGAGGTTTACTTAATAATTATATCTTTTCCAAAGTACTTTTTTGTATTTAAAGAGTTGTACTAGTAAAAATAAAAAGTAGAAATAGCAATTCTCTATTATATAATATAATATTTTAAGAATTTCTGAAAATAAAGTGTAATCATAACTGGTTGCAATTGGTTGGCATCAATTATTCTCAATTATTTCAGTTCGGTTAACTGATTAAGAAATTTTTTCTCAATTAAAATCACTAATTAAAATTACTATTAAAAAATTTTACTACTATATTTTTTATTAATTATTACAGTAATCATTAAAAGAAAATCAAGAAAGAAAGACGAACTAGTCCAAACTTATATATAAAACTCCTTTATACAAGTTGACGATTATATGGCTAGGTGCTGTGAAAAGGGCCCAAATTGACAAAAAAAAAAAAAAATTCAATTTTCATGTTATAAATCTTATAATAATAATAAATCATAAAAAAATACAAACTTTAAAAAACTATCCTGCAAAATTTTATTAATACAACTACTTTTGTATCTTAAGTGAAAAATGATCCTAATCTTATTCTAAATTGATTGATGTAAAATAATTGCTTTTGAAAAAATTAGCACTTTGGACCCTTTTCTCAGCACCTAGCCCAGCTAAAAAATTACATGAGATATTTCCATACCGATACAATAACAGTTAACCTTGAGCAAACACGTGCGATACAACAATCCATGACTAAAAAGCAAATTGGTAAATTTCGAGGTTAGAACACAGTATAATATTTTTTGGTCAGATTTATACTTGAGCCTAAGTTGGGATCAATTTGTTTAATTCTCCCCTCCCTTGCACAATTACAAAAAAAAGAAACGTTAGACGAAAGATTAATTTGACAATGCTAATTTAAAATACCGAAATGTGATTTAATTTTAGATTAATTCTTAATGCTGACTAAAATAATCAATAAACAAGTGAATTGTGTGATTTTAGAACATTATGTGCATAAACGATACAATATCTATTAAATTTTATCTGTTATTATTTAAACATATGCTAATTTAAATGGATTATTTTTGTAATAATCTAATTAATCTATTTTTTTTCTGCTAATTTCTTTTTTTTATATTCATTAATTAATTCTTCTTGAACATAAGGTAAGACTGGTTGATGTGTTTTGTACTCCATCGTAAATTCGCCTTTACCCTATATATTGTTTTTATAATTATGGTAAATAAAAATTTATCTAAATATGAATGTAAGTCTTGAGATATATTTTATATTTACCTGCGTAGCGCTCCTTAAATCTGATGAATATCCAAACATATTATTTAAAGAAACCTCTGCAGTCACAATAAAATGATCTTCTTGAACCTCTGTATCAAGAATAGTACCTTTTCTCTTGTTTAAATTTCCAATGACAGTTCCTTGAAATTCAACCGGTGCCGTAATAGATACACTCATAATAGGTTCTAAAATGACAGGATTGGCCCTCATATATGCATCTCGAAATGCGTACAATGCTGCAAGACGAAATGCAAGTTCTGATGAATCAACAGCATGGTGGGCTCCATCTTCAAGCACAAATCGAACATTTTTGATTGGATGACCGATTAAAGACCCTTTTTCTAGACCGTCTTGAAAACCCTATTATATTAAATCAAAAAAATTTATGTTACAATAAATATTGTAAATGTAATTTACTGACTTATGGCTAATAAAACATTATACCTTTTCAACAGCTGGAATAAAATTGGAAGGAATATGTCCACCAACAACTCTATTTTCAAATGCTGGGAGCGGCTCTTCATCTTCGTCCGTTACCTCATTTAATGGTTCAATATATCCCATTACTTTACCGAACTGACCAGCTCCGCCAGTCTGTTTTTTATGCGTATAATCGAATTTAGCCGTTGACTTTATGGTTTCTCTGAAAGCCACTTGAGGCTTGCCTGTTATACAATCAACATTATATTCTCTTTTCATGCGTTCCACATAAATATCTAAATGTAATTCGCCCATTCCAGAGATAATGGTTTCTTTACTTTCCAAGTCATATGTAACACGAAAGGTAGGATCTTCTTTTTGAAATTTATTGAGAGCTTTGGAAAAATTTGGAGAGTCTTTAACATTTGGTGTGATCGATAAAGAAATAACTGGGTCCGGAACAAACATGGAAGTCTACATGTTAAATGAATTAAAGATTTTTTCAAATATTTCGATTTTCTCAATACAGAAAGGTTATTCACCGAAACAGTAATATTAATTATATGTTAAAAATTCACAATCAAGCCACACTGTTTCAGCGGATAAGCCGTTAGTCATTTGTATTTTGTTAAAGAGTAATGGCGAACATACCATTGTATAAGACAGAGTTCCATCAGTGAATGTATCTCCAGAAGAACAATCGACACCAAACACAGCACAAATTTCACCTGCACCAACTTCTTCAACATCCTAAATACGATATCAGTAATGTGCATTTGGAAAATAAAGTAAAAAATATATATATTCAAAGTAAATAATACCTCCATCTCGTTTGAATGCATTCGAACTAGCCTTGGCACTTTGACTTTCTTAGAGGTTTTAGAATTTGTGATAAAAGAGCCTTTTTTTAAAGTACCTTGATAAACTCTGATATAAGTTAATTGTCCATATTTTCCTTCTTCCAATTTGAATGCCAAACCAACAAAATGGTTTTTCGAATATGGAATTAGGTCAACTCGAGCTTCTTTTCGACTTATATCTAAAGCAGTGTTATGTACCTCAGTTGGATTAGGAAGAAACGCGCATACAGCATCCAGTACACGTTGTACACCAGTATTTTTGTAAGCTGATCCCATAAGAACAGGGGTAAATTTATTCGCAATAGTTGCACGTCGAACAGCATCCTAAATCTCAACATTATTTAATTATCCGCACATAATAGCTTGTTAGATTACAAAGAAACGTGATACTGAAGTTAGTTTAATAAACATGTGCTGACACACCATTAACTGTTCAGTGCTGGGCGTTTCTTCCATCAAAAAAATTTCAGCTATTTGATCATCTACATCAGCAAGATTTTCTATCAATTCCTGCTTTTTTGAAGTTGCCAGTTCGATAAGATCATCTGGAATTTCCTTCTCAATAACCTTTTCACTGCAGTGTGAATATCGATTAAGAGTAGGTCATTATGAGATCATAAATTTTACAGTATATATATCGTGTAATCTTACCCCCGGTTGCCTTCATTATAAATAGCCTTCCATTTAATCAAATCGACGACACCTTTTAGATCGTCTTCGAGTCCAATAGGAATTTGCACAGCAGCGGCAGTAATTCTTAACTTTTGTCGAATTTGTTCAATGACGTTAAAAGGATTTGCGCCAACACTAAGTGATATATTAAACGCGTAAATAAAAGAGTTAGGACTCTCAGTTAAATATTTAAGTAAACTCACCGGTCCAATTTGTTTACAAAAGATATGCGAGGAACGTTATATCGACGCATTTGACGGTCTACGGTAATAGTTTGACTCTATAATACAACCACAGGTTCATTGAATGCTATATAAATTAATGCCAACATAAAATTGACAAAAAACACGAAAATATGATATAATCTCATGATAAGACGCGACAATTGCGATTTACAATAAATATACCTGGACTCCAGAGACACCACACAAGACTAACACGGCACCGTCAAGAACTCTAAGAGCGCGTTCAACTTCGATTGTAAAGTCAACGTGACCTTTCCAAGACAATCAATTGAATATTTTAGTTAGTATTATACAACAATATGATATGGTAGTTTTCATTATAATATTAAATATTATATCTCACCTGGAGTATCAATGATGTTGATATTGTAGTCGCCATGATCTTTCCAATTCCAATTACAATATGTAGCGGCAGATTGGATAGTTATTCCTCGTTCGCGTTCCAACTCCATGCTATCCATTTTGGCACCTTCACCATCTTTTCCGCGAACCTCGTGAATCGCTCTAATTATTAGAAAAACTTTATCTAATTTAAACATTAAATTAAATGATTGATTTATTGACAATTGAAATTTACTTTATTCGTCCGGTATAATAAAGTATTCTTTCGGTTAACGTTGTTTTCCCGGAATCGATATGGGCACTAATACCGATATTACGCAGTCGTTGAAGACGAAGCTAGCATTAATGGTTTAATAAAATATTACTTTTGCATACGTGCATTTACTGATAATATAAAAAGAAATGTACATAGCTGTATTACGACATACCAAATCTGCGGGATCAGCGTTCTGCGGTGAAGTTCCAGATAATATAGCAGCGGTACTAGCATATCGTTTTATGCCAAAACACCTTGCATGCGATAGCTTAAAACTGGATAGAAATGTCTTCGATGATATCCTTGAATAAAAACATGATGGATTAAAAGGTGTCATTGTTTTATGACACGCAAAACAGATCGATCGATCGATCAATCATGATTAGATATTCAAATAACATGATCGTAGATTATCAATATCGCTTTTACAGGCAAAAACCAGGTACGTACGTGCGTACGTACAAAACTTTAACAGATAACTAATAATCGATAATGTATCGCATGCTTTCAAAAGTTAACTATTTTAGATTTACTGTTATAGCAGAAAAACATTTTTGCCCAGTAACTATAAAGACGCGACATTGTATGTAAAACTTGGCGTTGAAAATATCAAATTCATCTCGTGACGCAAAAAATATAATTTTTCTTTTCAGATGCACAGACGTCACAAAATTCGCGTATCGTTGTTAAAAATCCGGTAGTGGATTTGGATGGAGATGAAATGACTCGTATAATTTGGGACAAGATTAAAAAAAACGTATAAAAAAATATATATATATACTACATTACTGTAAAATCAAATAAAATCTGATAATTCATTATGCTTCTGTAGTTAATTTTCCCATATGTAGAACTTGATATCAAATATTACGATTTAGGAATTCAAAACCGCGACGCTGTGAGTAAACAAATATAATTTCATGCTCATGCAAAGAATTGATCTGTTTACAAATTGTTTTTACTAGACTAATGACCAAGTAACCGTAGAGGCTGCTGAGGCTATCAAAAAATATAATGTAGGTATAAAGTGTGCAACAATCACACCAGATGAAGAAAGAGTTAAAGGTTAGCTTGATATTTATGGAATATTTATTTAAAAATTTATTGTTGAGAGTTTCTACTAAGATAAGAATTTCTTTTTTAGAATTCAACCTTAAACAAATGTGGAAATCTCCAAATGGAACAATTCGTAATATCTTGAATGGTGTCGTATTTCGGTCAGTCTTACATCTTAAAAAATTGTAGAGTTTAATCTTGAATGCTTGTTTGGTTGAAATAATATTACCTGTTTTACTAGTGAGCCCATTCTATTAAAGAACGTTCCACGTATACTTCCCAATTGGACAAAACCAATAGTTATTGGAAGACACGCATTTGGTGATCAGGTTCAGACACAATCTTTATTTACTTAGTTTTAATATCATTCCTAATAAATATCC